TTGCAATGCTAGCCCATTTTAAAATATAATTATATTTTCTATGCATAAAATTGGCCCCTGTATTTTTAAAATGTTAATTAGGTATTTTAAATCATTTTGGCACCTCAAATTATTTTCCAGATATTACTTATTATTTATTAAAATTAAAATAGGGAAAAACTAGCTATTTAAATAATAGCCAAATTTGGGCTTTCAATTATAGCCCAAATCGAACCCTAATACCGGCCTAATTTTATACTTAATACCCCGACCCAGATGCAATTACCCACTACCCGACCCAAGCAATTTTAAATCCTGGTCGTTGATCTTCTAGATCAATGGCCCTCATTTCTCCTTTCCGTTAATTTCCAAACGACCCCTAACTCTACTCACTTTCCAAATCCCCGCCGCCCTCAGATGCTCTCATTTTCTCTCCTCTCTCAAACCTAACCCTAGACTCCGTCAAACGCCTCCTTCTCCGGTCATCTCCGGTGACCATCCTTTCAATCCAAGCCTCTATTGAGTCTCTCATCGCCTTGCTCATCATCTCTAAGACCTTCAAGGGTCCTGGGCCATGCCGATTTGGACCTAGGGTTTCTGTTTCTGTTATTTATGGCTTCTTCGGTGTGATTTTGGGCAAAATCATACCTTATATATTACGATCGCTGAAGTCTGCAACAAGTTCTTTCGATTTCTATTTAGGTTTCCCTTTAAAACCCTAACTCTCTTCTGAATCTATCAGATCTGTGTTATTTTTACACTTTAAGCATGTTTCCTTCTATGATTTTCTTATTCTCGAGCTTCTTCTAAAAGATCCTCCACTTTAAACCGTCTTTACTTTCTTTGAAAACTAGGGTTTCTCGGAGATCCTTCTACGCTTGTTTTAATCGATTTCCTTATGATTAAACCTTTTTCCTTGCTTATTTTTTTGACCAATTTTATGCTCCTGCTGTTTTTTTAACTCGACTCTGTTAAAGCCCTAATTTTAAGATTTTCTTTGCTTTGGTTCTATGTGTTAGCATGATTTTCTTTGCCTTAGTTCTGTGTGTCAGCATGATTCTCTTTGCCTTGGTTCTGTGTGTTAGCCTGTTTATTTGATTCTTGTTGACCTCTCGTGGTCACTAGGCTACAAATGTGTTTACTGAATTCCTAGCCTACTTATGTCACTTCTGTGTGACCATGCTCACTTTGTTTGTTTATCTCTTGCTTCTTGCTGTCAATATGGCTAACCTTGCCCTTTGCTACGTCTGTTGAGATCCTCTATTTATATGTTGAACATACAGAATCATGACTCCCTCTTGATTAATTCTGATTTCCTTAATTGATGGAAATTGAAAGATTTTCTTTTAAAGCCTTACAAGCTTTACCCCGTCTGTTTAAGCTGACTGATTTCCTTGCCATATTTGCTATGATACTTACTTCAACTGAGTTGTGTCCTTAATTAAGGCTTTATGAATTTGGTCCTAATCGGCTACTCTATGCTTATTGAACCTTGACTCCTTCCTTATTTAGTCATGCACTGATTTTTCTTCTTGCCTTATGTGATATTGAATCTCCCCGTTTGATTTGATTCCCTTAACTTAAGGGAGTACTTCCTTGATTCTCTAGTTGATTGATTTCGAGTTCTTAAATTAGTATACTACTATGATTTTTACCTTATTTCACTACCTACTTTCAACTATAAATACCCTAAGTCTTTCATTAACAAAACACGGGTTTTTTTCAGAAAAACTACCTCTCTTACTAGAAAATATCTGCTCTCCCTCTCTCTTGTGCTACTTGCTACTTGGTGGGGTAGATATTCCTCAGGGCCCGACATTTAAATGCACCAAAGTTACAATCACAAGGGAGAAACGTACCTGGGACTACTTACCAGAAGATACCTTATCTTTCAACGATGAGGATACAGAGGGGATCGAACAGCCTCACAACGACGCACTTGTAATATCTATCCTTATAAAATTCAAGTTAAACGTGTGCTGGTTCATCCAGGTAGCTCGACAAATATTATTTGATCGAGGGTCGTGGAGCAACGACACCTTTCGATAAAGTTTCTCCAAATTTCTTCAAAAGAATGGATTCATTCTCATCATCTTCTAAGTCATTTCCCTTTATTCCATATGTGTACGAAGTGAAGTGCTCATTAGGATCGGTGGTCCCATTGTACTTGGGGATGTCCGGCATACGAAATTTCTTAGGAATGGGCTTCGGCGCCATACTTTGAGGGAAAGGCTTCTACACGAACTTCTTTGAATCCAAACCTTTTAGGATCGGGGTTGCCCCCGGTATTTGGTCCACTTGTGAGTTGTACGTTTCTACCTTTTTGTCATTAGACTCGATTTTCTTTTTACCTGATTCTATCTGTTTAGTGAGCTCCTATAGCATCTTCATGACGGCGGTATCAGTTCCCGATTATCGTTCAATTTCTCCTGTACAAGTTCGACCCTATGAACAACTTCATGTGATGTATCGAGTTCGATTCTGCTTGGTGCTCGATTCTGATTTTGAAGTTGTGCTATCGAAACTTGCTGAGTTTGTAACATTTCAAATATCATTCGAAGGCTAATCCCGCCTTCTTCACCACTCTGTGCATTTTGATCAGTTGCCCGATCGTCTCTACGGACGCTATTTTCAGGGACGGTGCCTAAATTTCCATGAATGGCAACGCGAGAGCTGACATCGACTCGATTTACGGCCTGTGGTTCATCGGGATTAATTGGAGGTACTCCGTTTCCCGGGGCGACTATGTGCTCATTCTCGCCATGAAGACCAAGGCCGGTGTCTGTGTAAGTGGGCACTGCTTGAAAGTTTGACATATTGATTCCTGAAATCAAAGATACTTACGAGAACAAGCGTAAAAGCAGTGTGTGTTATGAAGATTAATACTAGGAAATCACTATTATCCTTAGCCCCACGGTGGGCGCCAAACTGTTTACCCCAAAAACTGGATAACAATTAAACTTATAATGTGGTTTTAAGGATACGTGATTTCACCTAATACCAATTGATTAACGTAAAGATAAGTGATAGAAATTGAGGATAATATAAAGCAAACTAGTGTTGAACAAATCCCTCGAGTTGGAATACCCTCGAGCTAGTAGAGCAAGAATAGTTAAAAAACAGTAAACTGATAAACAAGAGAACGTGAGTTAAAGAGAGAATATTATATTGCTTTGATTTGTGTGAATGTCAGGTCCGTACAAATGATGAGGACTCCAAAACCCTAATTATGGTATGACTCTAATTACAGAAGTAAATCCCATGATTAGCCTAAACTACCGCCCTTGATTTGATCTATTCAGGGATTTTCGCCGTGATCTCCGACCGTTACGGATATCTCGCCTTTCCATAATTGTGCGTTGCTCGAAGTCAGTCATATTTGGTCTCGATCATTGTTGGCCTCGATCTCGACGGGCACCTCGATTCTCGAACTCGACACCTAGATTCTCGAACTCGATACCTCGTCTTCGTGCTCTGGCCTGATCCATTACGAGTCCGACCCTCCACGTGATCCCCTGGTCTCGATTAAATAGTAAAATCGGTGAGGCTCAAAAAACTATTGAAACAAAAGTGAAGCAACTGGGCTTCGAACTTGCAGCATATCATTCGAAAATGAAGCTCTTGACCGACTAAGTTACACAGCAGTTCTTGACAAGTGGTGTCGCTTTAGTAAATTTAATAGTTGTTTTGCGTTTGGATTTTAATTATATATAGATAGTTAATAAAATTCTCGACCAAGCGGTGTCACGTGACACCACTTGGGCTAAGGTTTATCCGCCCCTATTATAAAGGATGACTATGATAGAGAAATATGATTGTAAAGAAGAATTGATCCAAATATCTGCACACCTATTTTTTTAAACTAAAAATAGCCCCCAGATATATGTATAACTGTATTTAATAATGTATAATTTATGTACGATGGCATAGCCACCCTATCCTAAAGGTGATCAAGCGCACACCCTTCGTTAAAAAATTATACTGTTTATATAAGTTAAATACTACTTTATATGGTTATATATTATATTTTGAACATATTTAACATAGTTGAGTGGAGCAGTCCAGCGGTTCGAGATATTCAAAGTAACATATTATTCACGGATTCAAAGTTTTGCCCTTTTTATTGCCAAAAAGAAACGGAAAATTGTGTCTATTTGATTCTTTTTACAAGAATTACATTATACTAACGTGTGAAGAATATATTTATACTGTCCATAATATAAGTGTAAAATCTTTTGTAATTGGTCCAAATGTCAGCAAACAAGTGGAGTACTTATTAGTGGAAGGCGGCTATCGTGTATTAGTAGTAAATTGGAAAATGGCTATGTATAGTTGCTTTCGGATCTATTGGGTCACCAACTATTAGACCCCACTGAATCTTATTGTTCGTTTTTATACTCTTTTCCCACCTTTTTCTTTCTTTTTTAGTTTTTATTTTTGGTGTTTCTTAGCCGCCGAGAGTTTGTGATAAGTTTGATACGGCCTCTATAAAACAGTTATCCTCTATAATATTATTTTATTATAATGGCCAATTTTACTTTAGAATTTTTTATATTATGCTATAGTAATATATGTTTTCTATAATATTTTTATTGAAATAAATTAAACTCTTTTAAAGAGATTTGACTATAATTGAATGTATTCGTCTCTAGCTACGTGTCCCTGTAGGGTGCCACAATTTGAAAAACCAGAGTATCCAGGAAAATGTTGCGTTGAATCTTATTGATGTAGTCCCTTCGGGGGACAGCCGATGAATAAAATAATTACGTATTCAATTAAATATTATCATATGAAATGGGAAAGGTGAGTAAAACAGATTAATTATACTAGTTTGTCTCACTAATTTGTTTAATCACATTAATATAGCAAACAATAATTAGAATAAAAATCCATGTCAATTCTAAAGGAGTGCAACTTTTGGTCAACTTATTTTTAAATAAAATACAAACCTAATTGTAATAAAGATAACAACATACCCGGTATTATCTCATACCGCTAATTGTAATAAATAAAAAATAAAATAAAACTATCCGACTCTTGTTTTATTGGAATCATACAAAAAGTATTTCTCCAAACAAAATCTATTAACTCTATTTTTCCAAACAAAATTTTCGTACTACAAAATTGACACTAACAAATCAAAACTCTCTCACAAAATCGCGTATAAATCGACCGCTAATAACAATATATATTCCCGTAAAAAATGCCACGTCACCGTCAGCAATGACTCAATTTACAAAAATGCCACAACTTTTATCTAAAACAACGAAATAGTCCACACTATCGAGCTTCAAGAGCAAAATCGTCAAAGTCAAACTCGCCGAATTCCTCGCCGTAGTATTTCTCCGACATCCCAAATTCCGGTAGCCGGAAAAGTGAGTCGACGTCAAACCCAAAAGCGTCCACTTCACAGAACCCCAAATCGTCAAACGGCGTAAAAAAACCGTTCCGGAGAACTGACGTAGGCGACAAAGCGATGTCGTTTTCGCTTTTCTCTCCACCGTCGGTAACAGACCCCGTTTCCGTTGTATCCGCCATTATTACTTTCGGAAAGTTAGTAACGGCGTCAGGACCTTTGAGCTTAACAGCAGCTTCGTCATAAACAGTAGCTGCTTCCTCCGGGGTATCGTAGGTTCCTAACCAAACCCGTTTTCCCCGGGTCGGGTCCCGGATTTCTGCTGCCCAGCGACCCCACGGCCTTTGACGTACTCCCCTAAACTTTTTCCGGCGAGTGACGTCAGTATCCGGCGAAACCAATCTTCGTTTTTTTCCACATATTAAATTGGGTGATGGCATGAGGTTGATCTCCGTCACGTGCCGTTTCACTCTCCGTACAGTATCTTGTCCTTCGTCGTCCGAGGAATCAGTTGCGTCAGCATCTGTAAGTATGATTCGAACAACTCTCTGTGAAAACTTAGAGTGGAAATTGGGTTTTTCGTTTTGCTCAGGAACATGTTTGTTTTTAGTGACTATGTGTTGGGAAAACTTAACTGTTTTTGGTACATCCATGGGAGAAATGACTGGATTTCTTATCATATAATAAGTTGAAGTTTTGTAGAAAACAGGATTAGAACATTAATCTATCTTTATAGAAGATTGAAGAAAGATACAAGAACTGGTTTGAAGATGAAATTTGTAACAGCGTAATATTATGACAAAGAGGTATGAATTTATAGGGGGGTTTCAGGGAGTGAATAGTAACCGCTATTTAAATAGTAAAGTGAAAAAGTTGCAGTGCTATAAATATAATGATTTGAGGAACGAGTTGGATTGTAGTGTGGAAAAAGAGAGGTTTCTTTGTTGTTTTGGCGGGAAATAAGCCAGGGGCGGATTTACCATACAACTCAACTGAATCAGTACTTGCGGAACATAATATGTAAAAATTACTAAAATTACGATGAGCCCATAATTTTAAATGCTGAACCCATAAAATTAAAATTCTAGATCCGCCGCCTATGAATAAGCAACACCTCTCAATTTTGTGTAGTCCAAAGATGAAAGATTTCCTTTTAAGATCACGGATCACGATTCTGCAACATGGACCAAAACAAGTAAGAGGGTGAGAGAAAGATGGTCTAAACAGAGAAGATGGGAGCCTACTCTCCACTCAAATATATAGTGCACGGGTAGTGTACAGCTCTGAAATGCCACAAATCTCATGCAGATTCACAGACGTACCAGTTTGGGGCCCCGAATCGGATCCGATCTCACACTGAGATATACAAAGAGACCACAACAAAATTTGGATTTATGTTCTATAAAATATAATTTGGATTTGGTTACCGTAATTATGATACTAATCCCGATATCTACTTCGCGATTGCATTTCTCTACAGTTTGACTATTGATATTAGCTAATACCGTGGTAATAGATTTTATCCATATTTTAGCAAATTTTCAAATTCCAAAACCAGTTCAAGAGTTGATTTTGGCCCAAAATATTACCGTTTGATTTTTAAAAAAATTTCAAAAATTACCCCAAACTTTTGTATTTTATAACAGCCCACTTTCTATTATTATAACCAACTAATTCACATCTACCCTAATTTCCCTCATTAAACTCACGCGGCTTTGCCCTTTTATATAAACAGAAGAAAACGTTCACCAAAGTTGTTGTGTCAATCCACTGCAAAGATAAAATTAGATCGTAATTTGCTAAAATCAGCTATTATTTGTATAAATTTTCTTCAGATTTGTTTCGCTTGTTTTGTATGAATTTTCTTCAGATTTGTTGCGAAATATATAAGTCACATTTCATGTTTTTTTTTTTAAAAAGTGAAGTATGTTCTGAAAAATTATGTCCAACCAGATTTTTATCTTTAAACTAAACTTTACCCAAATCAGATTTTTTAAAACAAATTTGGGGATCTAGGGCCAAACGTTAGCTTAGTATTATTTACCCATATAAAAGGTGAGATTATAATTCTAACTTTGTTTTGAACCAAACAATGGAGTACAATTCAATTGGATATAGTGCATATCTATTTAGTTTTTTTCAAATTACTATATCAAATTTATTATAAGAATTTATTTTTATAGACCAACTTAATCTAACAATGTAAAAATTTTATACACTATATTAAAGCCCCGTTTGGCCATAAGTTTTGTCAAAATAAATTTGAGATTTATTTTCAAAACTCATGTTTGGCCATAAATTTTGCTCATATTTTAGCCAAATCCCAAATCAAAAATTTCAAATTCCAAAATCAACTATTGAGCTGAATTTGGGCCAAAATCCCAAAACTTGGGAATTATATACATATTTTTTCAAAATAAAGTTGGAAAATATGTTTTGAAAACGTATGTCCAAACACATTTTCATCTACAAACCAAACTTCACCCAAATCAGATTTTTGCTAGCTAAGTCTAATATTCTCGAGAAATTTTCGTACTACAGTAGAGAAGTTCAGTACAAGTGGAGTAAATGCAGTGTGGGGACAAAAATTGGTGAAGGATCTTCTTCACAGCTGGTGATTTTGGACATGTCAATTGTCAAACGCCCCCGCCGCACACCCAGCAACCCCGACTTCCTTCTCTGTCCTTATACTCCTATTATACTAAGCGAAAAGTCTATGGTGGTTTTAATTAAAAAAAAAAAAAAAAAGTCTATGGTCTTGGATTTCACTTTTTACCAATTACCCAACTTTGCACCGTTTTGATTAATTCGAAAAGGAACTTGCTAGGAAGCCTCCAGTCTCCAACTTCGACGTACTATGAAGTTTTAAGAAGCTATAATGAGTTAAGGCCCTACCTTTTTGTATAACTATAATGAAATTTTTGATATCGGTACCAATGGAAGTATGAGAGAAATAGGAGGACTACAGACTACTGTGACTGTGAAGTTTCCACACATTGTTTGCTTACTATAAATACAAGGCACGTGAAAATTTGTCAGCATATTATCAAATGTTTTGCTTCTCTTATTGAGAAATCCCAAAATGAACAAGAGATACTACAAGCAAATGCCATGGGACCAGAAAAGGCAACCCAAGACATTAAAACGTCACATGAATAAGATAAGTGAAGACAGACCTGATTAGCATGGCACATGAATCTATAGGCGGAAGACTTGTTTGCTTGTAAACCAAGCGCCAATAATTTGCACATTTAGTTTTCTCTATTAACCCACTCTAGCACTAATCAGCGTACCCCCTTCCAATATCAATTCAACAGTATCGACAGACAACTTTCAGCCGCAATGTGAGGCAACTACAGCATCTGGAGGTTCCTAATTGCTCCAATATTCGTTTGGCCCTCCTCGATAGTGACTCAATTCTCACACATATTGATGGCAAGCAGACAAATACGACCACACAAGTGAACTACAAAAGTTTAACTTAGTTTGGCTATACCCTCATCTTTCCACAAAGAACAATATACTCTTCCAACTCATTTCATCGAGGTAGGACGAATCTGAAAAATGGAAAAAACTAAAAGCTATTCTGCATATTTTGGCTTATCGACACACTGCTTATCGTGTAACAACCCTTCAAGAAATGGCAGGATAGGAAAGGAAAGGTAGCACAATTTCATCAGTATCAATTCCTAAGAGTTAAGACAACGACCCTCAGAGTGCATTTGGCTTCAAAACATTAGAAAGAGTCACCAATAAGAGAATCATCTGTTAAACCATACACATTAATTAGCTTGCTGAAACATCGGCGCTTAGACCCCTTCTTGCAGCTGTCGTAAATCAACATGAACCGAGAAAAAAGCCTTGAAAAGTCTGATACTTCGGCACAATACACATGCAAGAAAAGAGACAAAAATTTTGAGACCAAATACGGAGATCGATAACACTGACCTCCCACTTTAGCAGGGAAACATATACCTACACAGATTTTCAAAAAATCTGCATAGCAACAACTTACAACATCACAGAACACTGAAATATGATCTCATAGGCTCATACAGAGGAGACTTGGGGTTTGCTCACTGAATTTTTGCCACTCAAAAGCACCATACAAGGTTGGTCATCAAATAGATATATTCACATATTGAAAGATCTCGGTCTTCTTGGCAACCCAACATGAATGGAGAAGAGAAGTAAACTGAATTCCTTACCAACATTTTACTTTCATCCAAGCACAAAGACATTGCACTTAAGGGTGAAAGCAAAATGAAATTGTTGCAATGAAAAGTGTCTCAGACACGTCCGAGGACACTTTCCGCATCATCCCATAGCATATTTCTGTGTCCAGCTACGAGCAGTGGCCTCGTACTTGGCCCTGTCAGTCTTGTACATATGAGCAATTTCTGGTACAAGTGGATCGTCTGGATTTGGATCTGTCAACAGAGAACAGATGGACAACAGGACCTGAAAACACAAATAGGCCGGTAAGACCCTTCAAATCACAAAGACAACTGAAAAACAAGAAAGATAACCAGCCAAACTCTTTGTCGCCATTTTTTAAGATGGTTTACTGCTGACTTGATATGCTGACTAGATATGTAAACGGGTTTCCATCACATTTTGTAGTTTGGTAGGTATGTGCAAATACATGACTCCGAACAAAGGCAAAGATAACAAAAAATATAAGACCACTCCATTAGTCATAGGTGTTGGTCAAAGGATAGTACACAAGTAACAGCTTCAAGAAGGACTATTTGGCCTACTCTAAGCCACGAATCCAATGGCCAGAATTAGTTAATCTTTCTTTATAAAAAGAGAGGAGATCAAGGCTCAACAGGTCTAAACAATCAAGACACAGAAAACATGGACCATTCGCCACAAAACAGTATCAAGAACCACCGCCACCATCTTCATATTGTTAAAGTTAGTCTACAGGTTGGACTCATTTTCATATAGCAAGCCAAGACCAGAAAAAACAACATTTAATTGGACATAGACAAAGATCAAGATCCAAACCTTAGATATGGTCAAAGCTGGACTCCACTGTTCTTTAAGAATATCCAAACATATACTTCCATTGCTATTGATGTTGGGGTGGAAAACCTTAGTTCTAAATGCAACCTGAAAGAATAAGAATATCAACCTTGTGTAATCACCATAGAAATCAACACACAACTATTAATCAAATTCTCAGAATAGGCAGGGAAGAAATCATATTGTGCACATTCCAGTGATCTGCAACAAATGAAACCCTTAACATCTAAGAAATTACAGAGCCATCATGAAGGTAAACTTAATTTAGCAGCAAACAAATGTCAGCAAATAAACTGGACAAAACTGTTAATGCCCATGATTACTGAGCTATAATCTTGAACAGCACCCCAAGAAACAACTCACCCTAGCACCCTAACATAAGAGAGCTGAGAATTCCTTCTGTCATGTATTCTCGATTAATGCAAGGTAAACTTCTCAACGAAAAGCTTCAAATGTCATCTCAAGCAGTGGGAATGATCACAAGGATATGAAGACGGGAGTAACACCCATCTAAGACTTGCTGAATTTTTCCATAGGGAAGTGGAGCTGTCTATGAACTCTGAGTATAGTCCGCCATGTAGGCCTGTGGACTTATCTCTATGGTATGCAAACATGCCAATGTACCAAATGTCAGCATTTTTGATGCTAGCATACTCCACATTTTACTAACAAGGCAATGATTTTGAAGGTTTTGTGTGGCCATAAAAAGGGGGAAATATAGAGCATAGGCTGAGGCAAGGTATGAGGTAAAATTACCTTTGTATTTTTCACGGGCCTTATTAATAAATTATTTATTTGAAGATTTTAGGAAATAATCAAGTATGATGTCAATCAATGCTATCATTACATATGAACACGACCAATATTAAGGTTGTGCATCCATGACAAATTTGGCTTATTTTTAGAATAGGAAAATTAATTATCTTAAATACCTACAACATTATTCATTTGTATTTGAAGAAATTTCATGCAATATGATGCTCTCTAGTTTAGAACAACAGCGGATGTAAAGGAACACATAGAGATATGGATAAGGACACTCTGGAGTATAGGCTTACCTTTGGAGGCTTGAAAGGATAATCAGGAGGGAAATGAATTGAAACCAAAAATACACCTCCTGCATAAGGGCTATCCGTAGGCCCCATGATCGTTGCTTGCCAGTGGAACATATCCTCAGCAACTGGACCTGTATTAGACGAAGTATGCTCCTTAATATCAACATAACAGCAATGTGATTAAGCACCCACACTAACAAACATATAGTTTCACTCAGCAACTTAAGGCCTATCCTAAGTTATAAGGAAATCACAAATGCTTGCGTGACAAAAGCAGCACATAAGAAAAGAGAAGAACGACACAGGAATTCTGATTGATAAGGAGAAAGTGAATCCGATATAAATATGCAATACAAACAGGGCTGTAACAGGCCGTTTGGTGGATTAGCAGGATGTGCACAAGCTTGCTGGACACCACCATCATTCAAAAAAAGAAACATAAAAAAAAAAGACGCAATACAACCAAATCTGCATTCAGCTGTAGTCAACAACTCAGAATGGAACAACCAATCAATAATGCCAATTCTTTTATTAATAGAGTGGTGCCGAGACAGATCACGTGCACCTCCACTAATCCACCCAAACATGTTATCTCCTACCAGTACATGTAAAAGATGGCCCTGCTTACCAAGGCTTAGGTTGTTGACCTTTTCTGATAAGGAAGAGAGATCACCTTCCAGGCATAGTTCAATGTCTAAGCCTACAATATATATATGATGAACCTAAACAAGAAATCAAGAACAGAAAATTCACCTAATTTGCTTCTACTACGATTTGAACCTTGGTTCCCAAGATCGTTACTCCAACTCCTCGACCACTTTGGAATTTGGGGGCTAATGCCACCATTGTTATAGAAAACAAACATTTAAATCAAAATACAGAAACAGCAAATTACTAACAGCTGTTCTTCTGCTACTAGTTCAATACTTTGCAGCATTATCCTCACAAAAGCAGCAGAAATTCAATCACAAGGACTTACCTTATCAAGTCCTTAGCTATAAGAAACTAGCACATAAGCTAAGAAAACGCATAAACAGAATGAACAATGGAAAAAAAAAAAAACTGAGCTAACATACCAGCGCTGCATGATGTCGGAGGATCCTTCTGCAAATCCTTGAGCTCCTTCAATATACGCTTCGACGCCATAGGTTAGCTCGTATACCTTCAAATCCAAGCCCTAACCAAATATAAATACAAATTCTTTCATCATAAACCATGGATCTTCAAATTCAATTAAAGTAGAAAACATATTGAACCCTAGCTAAAAGTAAATCTAATGGATTATTCATGATATAATCCCATAGATCTATGTTAGAAAAATGAAATTACAGAAGCATGAAGATTTAGGGTTAGAAAAAGTACCTAGAAGATGTGAGGCGATTGATTGAATTAGGTGAAAACGGAGATTTGCTGAGCTTGGATTAGGTATTTGAGCCAATAGTTTGGACCAAGGGGAAAACAATAAATATATTACTATTCCTACGTAACGTATAAAAATGCTATTTGTACTCATATTTAAGAGTGGGGTCCAGATGCAGGTTCTAGATCCTCCTCTGGAGTCACAATGTGCACATACCACAACCGACGGCTGCTCGTCTTTATGCCCGGGCCATAAGTTTTGTCAAAATAAATTTGAGATTTATTTTCAAAACTCATGTTTGGCCATAAATTTTTCTCATATTTTGGCCAAATCCCAAATCAAAAATTTCAAATTCCAAAATCAGCTATTGAGCTGAATTTGGGCCAAAATCCCAAAACTTGGGAATTATATACATGTTTTTTCAAAATAAAGTTGGAAAATATATTTTGAAAACGTATGTCCAAACACATTTTCATCTTCAAACCAAACTTCACCCAAATCAAATTTTTCAAAATAAATTTGGGATCTATGGCCAAACGCTAGCATGTTTTGCCCAATTTCCAATTTTGTAAATATTTTGGTTCAATATTTTCTATATTCAGTTTCTTTTTTCTTTTTTTGGTTAAAATGGATATTTATATATTACTTATATCAATATCACCAGTATTAGTACCCGCACGGATGCGCGAACACTAATCATGTCAAATATTTAAGTTATTTGGATTGTATGTAAATAATCTTAAAATTTACACTTTCTCAGTAAATATAAATAATCATTGGATATTAACTACATGAAAAAATTAACCATTTCTTCTATTTTTCTTTTTTGATACCATTCTTGCCGCTGTCATTGGATCCTAAAAATAATCAAGAAGCAAAATAATACTCATATTTATGGCAAAACAATCAAGTGTTGAGACAATGAATGACTCTTTGGATAAGACTTAACTCTTTTACTACTACTTGAACTCTTATATGGTGTGCTGATATATCTTAAAAAATATTTCTTTCATAAAATTTCAGTTTCTAAAATATTATTTTTCAATAGTAATTATTTTTATAATAATGTAATTGAAAATATTATTCTTAACTCAAAACTCATTTTAGTTGGCTATCTAAAAATATAAAAAAATCTTTAGCTAGTGATTTTTTTTTACTCCATTTTTATATTTGACATTAACCATGTTAAATATCTGAGTTATTTGAATTATATGTAAACAACCTTAACATTTAAACCTTCTAAATAATTATAGATAATCGTCAGGTATTAATTAAGAAACACTACATGAAAAAAGACTAACATTTTCTCAATTCTCGTAGTATAATTTTATTTTTGTACTATTCTCATAGGTGTCATTGGAACCTAAAAATAGCCACAAAGTGACATAATAACTCATATTTATGGCAAAGCACAAAGGTTGACACGATGTAAACTATTCTTTGATTACGATGTGACTCTTATACTACGACTTGAACTCTTATTTGGTATGATTTTATCTTTCAACAAATATTTCTATTTTGAAATTTCAATTTCTAAAACTTTATATATATTATAATAATGATTATCTTTATAATGATGCAAGTGAAGATATTATCCTTAATTTAAAATTTACTTTAATCGGCTCTCTAAAAATTTAAATGATTCTTTAGCCGGATTTATAGCAGTATGACTCCACTTTAAGATTATCGATATCTCTAGCCCAGAATTTGAATTTTTAATACCCTATATATACAAAATTTTTGTTCTTTGAATCATTAAATATTAAATTAGTTGATTATTATTATAAAATATTGCATATATTGTCTTAAAATTGTCAAGCAGTTTATTTTTCGACACCATACTTGGCTTAACCTCAATGCAAACTACTCAAATTGCATTCCAATTCAAATTCGAATATCATATCAGTTTGTTAGTAATAATTAACTTTTAAAAATGACACATAATGTAAATTAAAAAAAATATTCGAAGATATCCTTATTATAATCTATGTATTTGAGTTGACAAAAAAATTGAAATCAATGAGATTAACTTTCAAACTTTTTATACTCAACAAAGATGAAACATAAGAAGAAGTTTGTTGTCATCTTTTATTTCTCGTTTTTAGATCTTTCTAACATTTTTTTCAATATTTATTTCTTTTATCTTATTTTTTATGTCATTATTTCTTTTTTTTACAAAATTATATCACTATAAAGGGATGAGTTTTCATAGAAATTATCTACATATGAACTTTAATTATATTTTCAGTCTTTGGTTGAAATTATTTCATATTTTCTTTTGGCTTTATCTAATTAGCCTAAATAGGTGCTGACGCGACCACTTATATTAAAAAATTGAATGATGTGTAATTTATATATAATCTATATATAATATGTGTATAATCGTGTGTTGTCGGTATATCATCTATTTATATTAGCTATAAAAAGTAAGCAATAAATATGGCCGGATATTATATAAATATTTCATAAGATTTCGATTTTTTGAGTTTATCCAAGATATAACTTCTATTATAATAATTTTAAAACTCTCTACTAATGTTCAAAAATATCTTATCTTTTTATTATCTTTGAATTAAACAAAGTAAAGAGTTTTTTCGAAATAATCTGTTTACATTTTTGAAAAACATATTTCATGTCATACCAATTTTTTCTTTATATATACTCTTTGTTACACTTAAAAGTCGCTATAGAAACTATCAATTAGAAACCAATTTATCTTTTGTTGAGTTTGAAAAAAAACCTTTCACATAATCTAATGATTTAGAACTAATATTCTTCAACGAAAAAAATATTATACCCTTGCAATATTGGCTTGACTACAGCTAAATGAAGGGGTTTCAGTTTATACCCTTCAATGTGCTAAATTGGAATTAACGATAGCAATTGTATAGCCAAAGTTTTTTTTTTTTATGTCCATTTATGCAAATTGATTCTTCAAACAAATATTCTTCAAGAAGAAAAAAGAAATAACTTTTTTTAATATTGACTGATTTTGTGATGTTTCATTCTCCAACATGTATGTTTACTTTATTATATATGTAAGTAAACTTTTATTTAGTTTTGTAAACTCTATTTTGTTATTTAGATAAACATAGACGTGTACCCTATATATTACATTTATTTTAAAAGAATTTCGCTTTATTCAAATCTAGCTACAGTGTTTCGGAGAACTATACTTATAAGATTTTAAATGTGAAAGAGTTTTATAGTTATATGGAGTAGCTTTTTTTTTTTTTTTTTTTTTGCTAGAGGCGAAGTAGTATCTACATAATTATAAAAAATAACAAAAGTTCCTAATATGATTGCATATGATCATTAACCGCATTAAGTATGATAACATGATAAAAAAAGATAAATTTTATTTTTAATTTAAATTCGAATTTTAGAACTTTATCTACAAATTTTGTATTTAACTAAAATAGTCAAATATAGAATAAAGTTACCATACTATTGACATTTATTAACTTGCCACTTGGCTTAATCATAATATAAATTATATATGGTAACTTTCTTGCTTTAATATTTATATAGATATAGATACCCAATTAAATTTGATAGATTTATTATTATTTTTATTTCATTTTAATCGGTTCCATAATTTTGATTTGTTCGATTTGAATAGAAAATTGTAATTTTCTCTTTTCTTTTCTATTACTTTCGTTGTCTCTAAGAAAAAGTTAGTACTTTTTTTTTGTGGAAGTGGAACAGTGAATAGTATTATAGAAAAGAGATTTATTTAAGAAAAAAAAAAAAGAGAAATAAAAGCTATCCTCCCTAATTTGAAGTTACACAAGAATGATGTAGTGAGACGATAACATAAACATTATTTGAAATATTTCGAAAATATTTTGTTCTACAAACTCTGTCAATATTGTATACGGGTTTCGAGATCAGAGGACTGCATCGAGGGTCAGCCTCGTATTGGATTAGACCTGACACGGAGACAAGGTGCTGAGTTCAGGGATCAAGGTACCCGTCGAGATCGAGTCCCCCTACAATCGAGATCAGGTATGACCAGCTTCGAGCGGAACACAATAACGGAAAGGCAAATATCCGTAACCGGTCGGAGATCACGGCGAAAATTTCGGAACGGATCAAATCAAGGGCGGTTATTGTATCAATCATGGGATTTACTTTCGTAATTAGAATTATACCTCAATTAGGATTCTTGTAGTATATAAAGAGTGATCCCCATCAATTGTAGACACCTTACATTCATACAGATCAAGGCAATATAATATTTCTTTCTTCTGCTCATCAGCTCATTGCTCTTTAATTATTGTTCTTTAATTGTTCTTGCTTTATTACTCTCGAGGGTTCACCAGCTCGAGGATATTGTCCAAACATCGGTTTGTTTTATATTTTTGTCAATTTCATCGCTTATCCCTAAATTAATTAATTGGTATTAAGTGAAATCATATATCCTTAAAACCCCATTACAAGTTTAATTGTTACTCAAATTTTAGGGTAAACAGTTTGGCGCCCACCGTGAGACTAAGGATAATAGTGATTGCTTAATATTTTAGCCTTCATAACTCGCACTACTTTTATGCTTGTTCTAGTGAGTACTTTTGATTTCAGGAATCAACATGTCAAACTCTCAAGCAGTACCCACTCACACTAACACCGGCCTCGGTCTTCATGGCGAGAACGAGCACATAGTCGCCCAGGGAAACGGAGTACCTCCAATCAATCCCGATGGACCACAGGTCGTAAATGGACCACAGGCCGTAGATCCAATCGATGTCAATTCACGTGTTGCGATTCATGGAAATTTAGGCCCCGACCCCGAAAACAGCATCCGCAGAGACGCCCGGGTAGCCTATCCGAATGCACAGAGTGGTGAAGAAGGCGGGGTTAGCCTTCGAATGATATTTGAAATGTTGCAAACCCAGCAGACTACGATAACACAACTCCAAAATCAGAATCGAGCACCAAGCACAATCGAACTCGGCACGTCGCAGGAAGTTGTTCATAGGGTCGAACCAATATAGGATAAATTGGACGATAGTGGATCGGGGACTAATCTCGCCATCATGAAGATGCTCGAGGAGCTCACTAAACGGATTGAATCAGGAGAAAAGAAGATCGAGGCTAATGATAAAAAGGTAGAAACGTACAACTCACGAGTTGACCAAATACCGGGGGCACCCCTGATCCTAAAGGGTTTGGATTCGAAGAAGTTCGTGCAGAAGCATTTTCCTCAAAGCGCGGCTCCGAAGCCCATTCCTAAGAAGT